TTTCATCAAAGCTTTATTTATCTCCTAATGCCACTAATGACAAGGCTTATTTACCAAAAATCAAATAAATGAATGGCACCTTAGAAAGGTTATGTATTAGGATTCCATTGGATTTAATAAGGGAAACATTTTATGATATGTATTCAAAATACATTCCCTTTTGCTCATGCACACACACCACACAAAACATCAATAACGAAGGATAATAAAATGTAAATTGCTACTATATACTGAAACAACCAGGGGGGATCTTTTTCTACGAAATTTTAGGGGCAAGATTGACAGAGGTCATTGCTGAGAACTGAAGGGTTTTTTCCAAGTAACTGGGAAGACAATATGTGGTCTGAATTCTGACGTAAGTCAGCTTATAGTTTGGCCTTGATTTCTGTGATACTAGCTTCATAGGGATGTCTATAAATACTTAGGATTTAGGGTTTGTTTAATAAACAGAAATGTGGGCTCTCCATACCTGGTGCTAATAGAGATGAGCCTTATGCTTGGGACCAAAGTCTTTGTTTTAGCCTTTATGAGTCTTTTGATAGGGGTGAGCTGGAAGCAGCACCTTTTGTAAATTGAGATCAGTAGTTATTTCACTGTCTCTTCCAGGATTCTGCAGAGTTTGATTTATTGTTTGAAAATGCTTTTGACCAGTGGGTAGCCAGCACAGCCTCAGAAAAATGCACCTTCTTCCAGATCCTCCACCACACCTGCCAGAGGTACCTCACGGACAGGAAGCCGGAGTTTATTAACTGCCAATCCAAAATTATGGGAGGTGAGTGGACATTTGTATGACTTTAGCCAGTCATCCTGTTTCTTCAGACTCACTTTTACATAAACAATTAGGTGTTCAGCAGCATAATCAGAGACAAAAAAGAATAAAAATGCTCAAAGTTAGCATGAGAACCGTTCTAGGGGGAGTTTGCTGTCTGCTAAATCTGGACACAGTAGTATGTTTTCACTCTTATTCAAAAGCTGCTCTTTTTAGAATAATTATCCACATAGCTAAGATTATTTGTACTCAGAACAAACTGTTTCCTTTATTAGAAAAACATCTTAGTTTGGTTTCTTCATTACCTTTTCTACAATTTCATTGTAGAACAATGTTTTCTAGGTTGCGGTTTCCTATTATTTTGCAGGATGTTTTACAAATATTAATATAAAAATTCTAACGATGCTGTCCCTTTCTTTTCAATAACAACTAGTCTCATGTTTATTCCTTGAATGGCATGTAAAGCTGAGTTAGCATGAGTACTCCAGCCAGTATTAAGAGGCAAGTACCGGAGCTGGCAACATATCGAAAAACATTTAGAAGGGACTTGGCACTTTCCTTTTAGGAGGCATTTCTTTTAAGGGAATTGAAACTGCTAAAAATATAAAAACCTTGCCAATCACT